CCTGACCTGCGCAGGCTGGGAGGTCGCCTGCTGGCCATGAGGAGCCTCCCGTCCCTGTGCCCCTCCCTCTCGTTAAGTTAACACAGAACCCCACCTGCCAGGAGCTATCGATTTCCAGCCCCCGAGGATGCAGCATTTCCTTGGATTTTGATAGATACTCGCTTCAGCTGCAGAGCAAGCTGTCAGCAGAGGCACACTTAACACTTCCAAAACAGGAGGCGCTGGAGACTGGGGGAGGGAGGAGGTGGGGGCTCACACAGGATTATCCTCTCAAGTGCCGGCTAGCCGCAAATGCAACCAGACTGAGGATTTTGTGGACAGTCTTGAATGCCAGCCTCCCAGGCAGTGTGTGTGCTGAGTCTCCAGGGAAGATTTTAGGGAAACTTCAAAGGCCCTTTGACCGTGACAGCCTGCATCAGCACGAGCTAAAATTGTCTCTTGAAAAATTAATCTGTGTCCTCGTATTCCTGACCCTTGTATGAGATGACAGTGGAGAGCTTTTGCCTTGAGGGGAATCAGGGACTAGGGAGAGTGTGGAGAAGCATGAGAGCACGGTCTTCCTGTTTGACTTCAGAGCTGGGTTGGAGGGTCCAGAGAGAAGGTGGGCGCTGGGTGGAGAAGTTCGAAGTCACCACCCGAATTAGCAAGAACAGGATGGGAAGGAGGCCCAGGTCTGTCTCCCACCCCCTATTCCAGACCCATGAGCGTCCCTTGGGCTGGCAGAGGAGAGAGGAGATAGGGGGCTTGGTCTGGGAGGCAGGAAGACCAGGCATGGGGGGCCCTGGAAAGAGAAGAGAGGCCTTCAGGAGAGACAGCCTCAGCGTGGCTGGTGCTGGGGCGGCAGACTCTCCTCATGGTCGCTGCAGGGGACCTCCGCCTCCCCTCTCAGAGGAAGCCCTGCGGTGATGACACTCAGCCGTGGCCTGTACTCGGCCCCAAAACAACCCTGACCGGACGCCCACCTTATGAGCCCCTCTCTGGACCAATGTGTCCGATCAGGGCAATCAGGACACGTATAAACGGCCCCCAGAGAAGAGGTGGGGGTCCTGCTCCCCAGAGGGGCAGGTATGGGACTTGGGTGGCACTGGACAGTGGGGAAACCCACCTTCATTCCAGTAGTTAAATTTATAAAATTGCCCATCTGTAGACAAAGGGGATAGAGCATCGGCAACTCCAAATGATTCGACCTGATGCCTGTTGTTAGGCGGTTTGCCTGGTGCATCTCTTGTGTTTGCCCTCCCCCTCTCCTTACCCCTCCCCCTTCTCTCCCTCCCTCCCTCCCTCCCTTTTTTCCTTGCTGGGGATACAAAGTTGCCCTTAAGAAGCTCACCAGATGCTTGGAAAAAACAAACTGTAGATCCTAGTTATGATACAGTGGGATAAATGCTACAGTAAAAGTTATTGTTGCTAAGAGTTTTCAACTGAAAAAAAAAGCACACAGCATGAGAGCTGAGTTCCGCATTCACTGGGGGCTTACTGAGAACTGTAGCCCGGGAGTCAGGCTGCCAGTAGCTCTGAGGAACTGCTTGGAAGAGGTGGGGGGAGGTCGGTGTCTGTGTGATTTTGGAGAAAGGACGCCTTCAATCAAGCACACATCTTTGTAGAAGGTTGCTGCTGGTCACAAGGAGCAGGTGTTGCAGTTAATTTTTTTTGTGCTTTTCTAGATATGAGGAGATGCAAGAATTTGGGCTCATAAAATCTGAAAATAACTGACTGTCTGAAGGCCTGTTCTGCCAGTCTTCCCAGGGCCCAGAGTGCCCCATTCCTGATCTCCGTCCTGAACCCCTTTTGGGGTGCATCGGAAGTCAATGACTAGTGACTTTGTTCTTGTGGAGCCAGGTGGCAAGTGACATTCTTAAGTAGGCAGAGTTCACTGGGGCCATCAGAGAAGACTTGCTTGAGGAGCAAGCGGGCCGAGACGATGGGGCAGAGGGGTGCTGGGTGCAGAGAGGCACTGAGGCATGGGCTCGGGGCATGGGCTGTGGTTGGGGGAGTGTGGTTGGGCAGGGGCTTGGGAGGCTGTGGGAAGGGTCTTGGGCCAGATCAGTAGGGGATGTGGTGGCGGCTGGGGTGAAGGGATCATCATCCGATCCTCACCGTAAAACTCAGAGTCAGCAGCTCAAGAGTCAGGTCCGGGCCCCGCTAGATGCCTGGCCTCACTGCTTCTCGACCGAGGGCCGTGGGTGATGGACTCAGCTCTCTTGGAATGATCTCAAGAGCAAACCCATTTCATGAACGGTGTTGAGAGACTAAGCACTCAATGAACCGGGCTTCATGGATGTTAGCTGTTACAGCTCTGCAGGTGTGGATGCCAGCGGCAGAGACGTTTTAAAGAACCCGTGACCAGAGTGGGCAGGGAGTTCCCTCGGTGTGCGGGCGCAGCTCACTGGCTCCCTCCTGGAGCCCGGCTCCTCCCATGGACTCAATGGCCCCAGGCCTCCACGGCGCTGTCCTCCTCTGGGTCATGGCTTCCTTCTTTACCACCACTGAGTCTCCGCTTCGGATCATTTTATTTAAACAAACAGCCCTACCTCCGTCCCCCTCCTCTGAAACCTTCAGACCCCAGCATCTGACCCATCCTGGTGCTTTCAATTCCTGTTCAACTCCAGAGTTATTTTGTGCTGTGTATTTATGGCAAATCTCTTTTAAATGCTTGTTCCCTGGCTTTCTAAACTGGATTTTAAGTTCCATGTAGAGGATGGTTGCGCGGCTCTGGAGAAAAGCAGCGATGGGATTAGAAAGCCTGGGACAAATCCAGCTCAGCCCCTCCCACTGTGAGACCTCACCCTTTGGTCCCCTCGTCAGTGAAATGTCAGCAGGACCCTTGGTGGGGTGGGGGCAGGGGTCCCCTGGCACCCTACGCTGTCAGGCCCAAGGCAGGAGGAACGCACTACTGGAATCAGATACCAGAAAAATGGGGATGGGGGTCATGGTTAGCTCTGGGCTGACAGTGCCCTCCCCAGTGGCCTGAGGCCGGAGCTGTGGCTGGAAGCTGCAGGGCCTAGGAGGGGCCTAGGCCCCTGGGAGTTCAGCCTCCTCCGATCTTAATGTCCAGCTCTCCCAGTAGCCAGCGTCTGACAGAACCAAAACAGTAGTTTCTCCTCGAGGCCCGGGTGCTCAGTGGCCGCATTCACACCTTCCAGTAGCCTAGGGATAGAAGCTGTTCCCCTTTATACGGAGGGAGGAGCAGAAGCTTGAAAGGGTATGTGCCTGTCTGATACCAGAGCATGGAGGCAGGTGGGGGGACTCCAAGGCCAGACACCCTGTAGAGGACAGCCACACCCTTCCTTCCAGAATCACTGGGGCCATCCAGAGCAGGGCCTGGAGCCGCACCGGGGCCAGAGCTGGGGATACCTCCCTGCTCTGAAGATGAGCTGGGACTGGGCCCAGCCTCCTTGGTCCTCCAGAGAGCCTCTGTCTGAGCTCTGCACCTCCCAGACGGGTGGGAGGGCTTCCCTCGTCCCCATGCTCAGCATGCGGCTTCGTGCCCCCCTCCCACCGGCTGCACCCCCTCCCTCTGGCAGATCCCCCACCTGGCAGCTGGGCCCCAAGTCTGCAGGGATCTGCAGGGAGAGGATAGGGAGGCAGCAGACACCACCCTGACCAGTGGCCCCTGGCGACAGGGCCTGTCAGCTCCTACAGGTATGCTGTCTCTGTCCATTGCCCGCATGACAGGAGGGACTTGCCTGCAACCCTCTGAGGAGAAACCCCACCGACTACTCACAGGGAAGCTGGGGAAAGGCAAGCTTGTGTGCATTCTGATAAATTAGAACATCCGTACATTGCAGAGGACGCTGCCTGAACTTTCCCAAAGGGTGAGAGCTGGTGGACAGGACGGCTCCTCAGAGCCCGTGTGCACACAGACACCTGTCAGCCGGGCTGGGAGGCCCAGCACAGACGACGCAGGGTGCAGCCATCAGGGCCCTGGGGCTGGTCGCTGCGTTGCCTGAGCCAAATCCATCTTGACCCTCCTGCCAGCTGTGGGGCCTCAAGCAAGTCCCTTGTCCTCTCTGTGTCAGAATGCAAAATGAGGATGACACCTGCTTCTCCTTCAGGGGACTAAATAATTAACGTACGCAGGACACGAGGGCCAGGGCCCGCCCTCTGGCTGGTCTGTGCATGTTACGTACTAATGGAAGGTGCTCCGGTCCCACCCGTAAATGGAAATTTCCCTTTGCAGACTTTTTACAGTGCCCAGAGCCTGTTCACATTACGGACCACGTTATTCAGTTTTTTGCCGTCCTGTGAGGCGTGTAATTTTATCTCCCTTTGGAGGGGAGTCAGTGGAGCAGGAGACGTTAGCTTCCGGATCTACAGGGCACCACAGGGGTACATCACCCTGCCTGGTGCGACTCCAAGTCTGGGGCAGCCAAGGAGCCCTCCTGGGGGTGCTGCGAGGTGCACGGGGGCACAGAGGGCGAGCGGATGGGGGCAGGCGAGGACAGAGCCTCTGCCCAGTGAAGGGCACGTCACCCGGGGCCGGGCTGCCCTCACTGGCTGTGTGATGCAGGCATGCCACGTGCCCTGTCTGCACCTCCAACGCCCACCTTTAGTGTGGACTCCAAACCCACCTTGCGGGGCCGTGGGAGACACAGCGCATACTGTGTATGAAGGTGCTTTGTAAACAGAACGTGCCGGGACCCCCATGGAGGACAGTGTTGCGGGGCGCTTGGTGGACAGCAGCTCCTGCTCCTTCACTCGTGTACTTGGCGTGGAGAGCAGGCCTGGGCACTGCAGGCCTGGGTGCCCCGGGCCGTGAGCAGAGCCCAGGGGAGGCCCTGGGGCCGTGCGGGCGGCGCACTCGGGGCAGAGCGGCTGGAGAGCTGCCCGCAGGACCCCGGCCGGCGGAGGAGGCCGCGGACTTCCAGGAGAGCCCACGCTCTCCGCACTGGGCCTCCCTCTGCTCCTGCAGGGACCGGTCCAGACGGCCCCTCCGCGGGAATGGGCGAGGGGAGAGTGTGTGTCAAAGGGCCCCAGAAAGGAGACAAGCAGAGGGCGGGTGCCCTGCCACAGGCCCGAGACTTTAATGTCCTGCTGGCACTGCCCAGGCCTGTTTGAATAACACCAGAAACTGCACCCAGTCGCACCCCTTGCTGGTGAGGAGAAGGGCTGTCAGCCTCCCTCCCGACCTTGGAGGTGGTTCCTGACCACCCCCACCGGTCTGCTGCCTGGCTGCTGAGACAGGGAGGCTGCAGCGGCGCGGCGGGCCGAGCCCTCCCTGGCCCCACCCTCGGCCAGGCTCGCTCTAAGCCCACGCTGGCCACGCGGCCTTCACAGCCTGCGGGGAATAAGGGTGTCCTGGGAGCCCTGAAGCTGGTCGAGGCTGCCCAGGGAGGACCCGAGGCCCAAGCACCCCGGGGCGCTGGCCACGCCCTCTGGGGCCTCGCGCCCCTTCAGAAGCTCTGCTGCTGCCGCCTCCACCTCCTCTGGTTCCATCTGGCAGGCCTCGGCCAGGGCCTGGCCTGTTGTCTTGACAAAGTTAGCGTCAGTTGCCAGGGTGTCCAGGCCCCCTCGAACCAGAGCCTGCCGGGAGGAGCGGAGGCCGGTGGGGTCTTCCCGGAGGGCCCTCCCCCTCCCCACCCAGGCCATCACAGGGCCACCTCGGAATGGCAGCTGGTGCCATCGTGGCCCCCACTCACCTCTCGGATCAGCAAGGCTGTGGCTGGAGCTGGGCACCTGGGGATACGGTCCTCAGTCCTATTGCCAGGGGGTGCCTCCTTGGGCAGGGACTCTCGTGTGGGGCTCCTTTCCTCAGCCACGGGAGACTCCACCCACGCCTGGTCCAAATACATGAAAGCAAAGACCCCATGGGGTTGCTAGACCCCCCTGGGATCTGGGAAGCCTCAGCTCCTCAGAGGGAGCCCCTGGCAAGACCTCCAGGAAGGGGAGGAACCAGAAGAGTCCCGTCCATCCTGCAATTGCCAGCAAATTACCCCCTCCCTTCCTCTGTGTGGAGTTTGCTCCCAGCCTCTGTCCCGTTACCTGGCAAGGGGTGGGAGGTGCCTGCGCTCCGGGCACAGCTCTCTGGGTCCGAGGTCCCTGCAGCCTTTCCACACGGGATTTGCTGTGGGGGCCTGTGTCAGGGTGGGGTGAGGCCAAGAGGGGCTGCTGACTCCTGCCAGGGGGTCCTGGATCAAGACAGCTCCACCTGGCCAGTCATGCCCCACCCTGAGATCCTCGGGCCCTGGACGGTGGACTTGAGCTGAGGCCAACCAACCCCAGGCCGGGCAGGACCCCCCACTGCCCTCCACCCACCAAGCACCTTGCCCTGGTCTCTGTCCTTGTGGGCTGGGGAGGGCCCGAGTCCGGCCAACTGCGGCCAAGCTGGTCTCCTGTGTGAGTGTGTGTTTGAGAGCATGTGTGTGTGTGTGTGTGTGTGTTGGGGAGCAGGACAAGCAAGCACCCCCAGCTCCTGTGAACCCCAGCATCCTCAGGGATCTGCTGACACACAGCCAGTCTAGGACCTGCTGGGAGACTGATTGCCAGGTCATCAGCTGAAGGTCAGAGCTGAGGTGTCTGTGTGTCTGGCTATCCTTCGGGCCAGGAGGGGTATGTGTAAGCTCTGTGGAGGGCCCAGGGAGGCTCCTTCACAGTGCACATCCCCCTCACTTCACTCAGCCACCCATGACACCCTTCTCCTCTGCTGGGCCACAGGCTCCCAGCCAGGTTCCCCAAATGTACAGAGGAGCAGGGCTCCCCAGGCCTCTCTGGAAGATGGTCAGTCCCTCGGGAGCAGATGAGAGACTGACCCAGGGTCCCCCAGTGCTGGCCGAAGGCTCCTCCCCTGGCGGCAGGTGTCTCTGTCTCTCCCGGGAACTCCCCCTTGTAGTGGACGCTGAAATGGAAGCACGGCCGATGAGCCAGGGAGGCTGCTGGCTCTCCTGCCGCCCCTGCCCCTCTGTGAGCCCAACACCCTTTCCCCAGGGTCTAACCCATCGTTCTGGTCGTGGGGCATCCCAGCCACAGAGTTCGTGGTTCTGGAAGCCCCCTCGATGTCCCTAACTAGTTTGGTTCCAGGCCTTTCTGGCCTGTGGCGGTCAAGGCCCTCTGCATTCTCAGGACCTACTCTCTGAGATTTTGATCACAGTCGGATCACATGACAGCCCACCCCCCCAAAAAGACTGTCTGATGCTTCTGCACGTCCGGCACCCAGCACCCCGTGGCGCCCCGCAGGGCTTGCGGGCTGCGCGCGGGGGTCTCTGGCAGGAGGGGGCGCAGGCAGCGCTGACCTGGGAAGGAGCTTCTCACCTGGCCTCTGCCCTGTCCTGCCCGGTCCTGGGGGCAGGGCTCAGCCTTCCCAGGCCAGAGAACCCCAGTCACCAAGCCTCCCGCCTGGAGCAGAGCTCTGCTCGGAGCCCAGCCCACAGGACCCTCTCCCCTCACCCCACTGGTTTTCGTGGCAGTCTACAGCCCAGGGTTGGTGAGATGGGGAACCACCTAGAACCCAAACCCAATGGCCAAACCTTAATAGTTTAGGTTTTTCTACAATGTGCCGCCTCCGAAGTCCCTCTCCTAACCTGTGTGTTCAGTTCCCAGACCTGTCGCAGACAATAGAACAACCGCTGGCACCGAGGCCAACGCCGACCCGAGGCTGCCCCCTGCTGGCCAGAGGAGTCTCTGCAGCCCAGGCCGGCCCCTCCTATCAAGGCTCAGGCTGGGTCCCAAAGGGCGCAAAGGCACACCGTCCACACTTCGGGGTCCCCCAAAAGCCTGAACCGCCAACTGCGTCTGCCTAGCCCCACCCCAGTGCCCCCACATCCCGGGCTGACAGTTACTGCCATTACCTGGAGAACGCCCAGCAGTTGCCATGGTTGCTGCTGCCACCCGTGGCGATGGCGTTGGCGTTGGCATTGTTGGTGTTGGCTCGAGCCAGGGGGTTGGTGCTTGGATGCTGAGGGAAGTCCTCCAAGAAGACAGGCGATTCCAGCTCCTCCATCTCATTTCAGTGAACTGGAGGGGCCTCTGGTTGGCCATGACGTGCGGCAGGGAGTTGGTCCTTTCCAGGAAGTTGTCCACCTGGCCGAACAGGCCTCCGGTCCTCTGTGGGCCAGGAGGAGGGGGGTATTGAGAGCAGAGACAGGGAAGTGCGGGGGGCTGCCACCGTGGACAGTGGGAGTGAGGCCAGAGGACAATGGACCGGGCTGTGAGGCCGGGGAAGAGACCACCCCCTCGGAGAGTCCTCAGCCTGATGGTGCAGACAGGGCACGTGGAGAGAACTGCATGGGGGAGACGGGCATCCGGACGGGAAACTCGGGCGGTGAGCGAGCCGGGAACCGGGCGCCTGGAGGACTGGCTGTAGTCCCACCTCCAGAACTAACTCCTAAAACGTTGTTGGACATGTCAGGTCATCTCTCTGGGCCACCGTTTCCTCATGAATTCCAAGGAATTTAACGAGGTGGTCATTAAGGACCCTCCAGCTCGCTGGTGTCAGAAGGAACCTGAGATAGAGCTGAGGACTAAGCGGGAAGCAGTGGGGCATCTGATCAGGGAAGGTTTCTGAGGGGTGACTGTTGACTGGGGTTTGTGGGGAGGGGTGGCAGAGGAAGCGGGTGGGGCCACTGACTCCGAGTCCTGAGAGACGTTGGAGGTGGGGGTCCTCAGCCTCCACGCTGTGCGGCTGGGCTCCCGGCCTCCTCTCTGCTGCAGGTGCCCTTTGGAGACCACGGCCTGGCTCACCCGGAATATCCCTTCCTCCATCGCGGCCTCCGCCATGGCTCTCTCCAGCTCCTCCTCAGCCATCAGGTCCCCTGAGATGGTGCGGCGGATCTCAGGGGCTGCCTCTTCCTCAATGGTCCGCAGCCCGGCCTGGGGATAGAGCTGGGACTCAGTGACCCCTCCCAACTCGAGCCAGGACTGGAGGCCACACTGCTTCCCACGGCCTCCCTCGTTTCTGATCCTGGCAACCAGGGCCTCCCAAAGGCCCAGGTCCAGCCCCACGCCTTCCTGCTCATTCAGTGTCCCAGGGCTCCGCAAGGCCACCACGTCCTGCTCTGTCTGGGATAGTCCAAACCCTGACGTTCCCCAAGGTGTCTTCTCTCAGCCTCACGGCGGTTCCACACCCGCCCAGGCCTCCAGGTCAGAAACCCCTTTCACTCAGCACAGTCTTCTCGGCAGACGACCTCTTTTGCTCGCCCTTGCCATTAGTACCATTTTTTGAGCTGATCAAAGTTCTTATCACCAGCAACAGGACCAGTCAAGACTGGCGTCACTTGCTGGTCTGCAGTGAGAACACAGCACCCTCCTGGGACTTTCCTGTCCAAGATGCGTGTCCTCAGTCTGTCAGGAGGACACATCACACAAACCCAGATGGAGGGACATCCTGGCCGGTGACCTTCCAAAGTGTCAAGGTCGTGTCAAGGAAGAACTGGGCAACCGTTCCAGGTGGAAGAGACTAAAGAGATACGGCCCCTAAATGCAATGTGTGATTACGGATCCGATCCTTCTGCTGTAAAGGACGTTTTTGGGACAACGGGTGAAACCTGCGTGGAGCCTGAGGATTCCACAGCCGTAACGCATGAATTTCCTGGTTTTGGTGGCTGCCTCGTGGTTATGCAGGAGGATTACGGAGGAGAATGGCCTTGTCTGCAGGAAATACACACTGAAGTGTCCTGGGTTGATGGAACACTGGGAATTACTTTCAAATGGCTCAGGGGAAGAAAGGTTTCTGTATTATACAGGCAACTTTTAAAATGGTGAGATTGTTTCAAAGTAAAAATTAAAATGTATTTTTGAACACGCAGCCCAAATGCATATGTATATTTTGGATGTATCACTCATGGGCATTATAAATACCTAACATAAAAAACTGAAATAAAGAGCAGGTAAGCTAACGCAAAGTTGTGAATGTCTTCGCGTACCCGGTGCTCATTTCAGGCACCGCCCCTCCCCCAGGAAACGTGCTTCCTCTGGCGACCACGGCCCTCATCCCAAGCAAACCTCACCCCAGTGTTCAAGGGAGGGGACCGTTGTTTTCGATCATATCATCCGGAGACAGAAGAGCCCCTGGTTCTTCCCTTGAGGTTGAAGTGTTTTCCATGGTGGACCACCCAGAGCTGTCATCTCATTCCGCACTTGTCCCGGCCCCTCCTGCCCACTGTGCCTCCACCCTCAGCCCCAAAGGACGCGGAGAGGGAGCTGGAGGCCCGGCTCAGCGCGCACATCCGTGGGGCCCAGGTCGGGCTCACCTGGATCTGCACAGCGTCCTTCTTGGGCCGATACCCGTAATACTCCTCCTGGCGCTTCATGAACTTTCGGAAGTGCTCCTGGATGAGAAACGTGGCGTAGAACTTCCCACCGTCACCTCATCATCTGCAGAGGAGCCAATGGGGGCTGGTGGGCATCTGACGCTGGGGTCAGCGTGGGGGTTACGTGTCACCAGGCCACCCCTCCTCTGGCTGACTTGGCCACCAGGCAGGCGGTTTCCAGCCGAGGCTGGAGCAGCTGTGATGGCTGCCATAGGGTCCACCCAGGGTATCCACGGGGGCCGGGCCACTCTCAGACTCCCAGAGGGCCCCCTGGAGAGGCCCTCATCCCCTCCCCGCGGCTGCCTCTGGGCTCCGGCCTCCGACAGCAGCACCCACCTCCTATTGGAGGGATGACCTGGTCCAGGAGCTTCATGCTGGTTCTCTTCCAGATCTTCTTGATGATGGCCCGCAGCTCCTCGTTGGCCTGCTCGAAGTTGCCTGGGGGCAGGGAGAAGCGGAGAGGCCCCAGAGTCATCCAGGCCAAGCCGACTGCCCTGGACAAAGCCACCAGGCACTCTCGTTCGGCAAACGTTGGCTGTATTTTCTCTTCTGGCAGCTGCTGTGCTGGGCACTGGCCTTGGGGGAGGCATCACTGCCCCTGGGGCAGCCCGGCCCATGGTCACATACTCACTCCACACAGGCCTTGGCTCCCGGTGCCCAGAGCAGTTGACTTTAGAGGCTATCGTCCCCATTCTCTGCCTCCCCAAACACCCTTTTGTCCCCCACGCCCCCTCCGGTCCACCCTGGGTACCCCAGGCAGCCTCCCCACTGTGCCAGTGTGGCTCCTCCCTGGCTCTCGGCCTCCTCTTCTTGACCTCCCAGGGAAGCCTTCCCTGTGGCTGTCCTGGGTGCCTGAGATGGTCCGAGCCCCTGCGGGATGGCTCTGTGCAGCTGGTCCCTGTGCGAGGGCTCAGGGGCAAAGCCAAGCCCCTCCCCTCCGACCCCTCCCCGGCTCCCACCACGTCCGACTTCCTGGCAGCCAGGGGCCTGCGGGTTCAGTGGGGCCAAGTGGGAACTCCAGCAGCCGCCCCGTAGCTCCGGCCCAGACGGAACCCCGGTGCCCCCACCGCTGCGGGAACACCACCACTTCCCAGACTGGGTCAGACACAGCTGTGCGGGAGCACATCCTTGGTGACTTTCGCCCTGCAGAGCCCTGAGGGCATGAGGGTTTGGTGGCTGCGGTCCGGGTCCTGCCTCTGCTTCTCCCCTGACTCCTGTTTCCCACCTTTAGGTCTAAGAATGGCAGGATCTGCTGGAATCTCAGCCCTGAGGGCAGGGGACTGCACCCAGAGGCCCTCACCTTCCGTCTTGATCTTGAGCGCTGTGCGGACCAGAGCAAAGAGGGTGGCATTGAAGGTGACCGTACCATCGCTGTTCAGGGGCATGTTCATGCCCACCAGCCGCTGCGGGCGTGCAGGAGAGGGGGTTTGCTGACGCGCAGGGACCCCCGAGCCAGGCTGGGCATCCTCCCCTGATCTGAGGGCCAGCAGGGCAGGGGAGGGTAGGGGAGGGGAGGACGGGGTGGGGAGGTTGACCAGGACGCTCTTCATGAGGCAGGGGGAGATGAGCTGGGGACTCTCTCAGACTGTAGGTCCCAGGGAGGGGTGTGGGGACCCCAGAGATGACTGCTATAAAATGCCTCATCCAATCCGGCCTCACCGACTTCCCCACCAGGACACCTGTGCCCCTGTGGTGGGCTCCCCTCATTGGCCGCTCTGTTACCTTACACGCCACCCGGTGTGGGCAGAACTTCCCAAAGCCCAGAGGGGGCTGGATCCTTCTCAGCAGGGTCACCACATCCAGATGTTTGATTCTGCCCCTGCAGGGGGACACCCAGACTGGTCTACCTGGCAGCCACACCCAGACCTCCCTTCCTGTTCAGAGAATGGCTGAGGGGAAGAGAGCCAGGAGCCTTCCTTGGGTTTCAGTCAAGCTAATTGGGGGTTCTTGGGTTGCATTAATAGAGGTAGAGGTCATGGATCAAGGGAGGTGGAAGCCCCCCTCCAGGGACGGGTGGAGAGCTGGAGACCGAGTTGGCGGTGCTGTAAGGATTAAGTGAGATAATGCGGGTCATGGTTGGCACAGCGCCTGAGCTCTGGGAACAGTCATAAAGCATGAAGTGATTACCTTCTTAGAAACAGTGTGAGGCAGCCGTGCTCCTCAGGGTTAAAGTGCACACGAGTGCCCAGAGGGTCAGGATACCAGCAATGCAGGCTCTGAGTTGGTCAGTCTGGAGTGGGGCCGGGGCTCTGCCCTTTTATCAAGCTTGGACGCTTGGTCAGTGGGCCACACTGAGTAGCCGGGGCCTAGTGAGTTCCCTGCTCCTAGAAGTGTCCGTGTGTAGCTGGGTGACCATTTCCAATAAAGGAAAGGGGGCTCCTGCCCTGGGAGCTGTGGGATCCCTCCGACCCTGAGCAGTTCTCCGATCCCAGGCCTCGGATCATAAAGAGAGAGGAAGCCTACATGTTGTTAGAGTGGAGAGTGACTCCCTGTCGGACACTCGGACGGGGTCTAGAACGAGGGCTGGACGGTTGAGGGAGGGTCCAGCACAGAGCCTGAGGACGGGACTCACTTAGCCTCCGGGTCATACTCTGCCCAGATGGCCTTGAACTCGTCCAGGTGGTGGGGACCCAGGATGGACCAGTCCCGCGTGAGGTAGTCGAAGTTGTCCATGATGACGGCCACAAAGAGGTTGATGATCTGCAGGAGGAGAGTGGGGAGGCAGGTGGGACGGGGGCAGGCGGGGGCCGTCCACGGGGCACAGGGTCCAAGCTTCTCCCTGCCTGGGCTCGGCACCCCAGCCCTCCCGGACGACCGCCACCCAACACGAGCAGCCTGTGTCACTCCGTGCTCTGGCCCTGGGGGGGTCCCTGCCGGGGCTCCTGGGCTCTCCCTTCAAGTCCAGTCTCGGCCTCTGGTCTACACCCGAGAGCCTGGGCCACCGGGCCGGCCGGGCTGCTCTCGCCGGTTCTCTGTTGTCGGGCATCCCTTTGAAATGCAAGGCTTCCTGCACGTGGACCCCTGGTGCCCAGTGAGCGGCGTCAGGGCCTGGACTGTGTCCTGTTCCTGTTTCTGTCCCTGCACTGGGCGCAGGGCCAGGCACACATCAGACACGCAACTACGTTTAGTAATACAAGGAAAAAAGGTAGAGGGAGCAACGCAAACTAACCGTTTTGGTAAAGTAACAGGAAAAAAAGGGTGAGGGAGCAAGGGCCAAGGGCTGCTGAGGGCTCTCGCCTCCGACGTGAGCAGACAGCGCCCTGAGGCTCAAAGCTGTCTGGTGCTGTTTCCAGCTGCACAGTGATCTCCTGGGGGACCTTGTTTCCAGCGTCCCAGCCTCCTCACAGAGGGCAGCCTTCTCCTCTGAGGAAGGGGGCGGGGCGAACGGCTTTACTCGAGGCCCCGGACTATTTAGGGCAGAACCTCACTACATCCTCCTGATTACTAACTGTTAACACTCCTTCCCTCAAAAGTAAAAAGTAAAACCTTTTAGCATCTCTTCTGGGGCATGGAAAAGCACTCAGAACACCAAGCCACACCCAGGACGACCAGGACAAGGGACAGTCTAGCCGGAGCCCAGCGCTGCTGTGTCCCTGAGCCGGTCCCCGAGGGACAGCGCGCACAGGGAGGAGGGGAGGGCGCCCCGCGGCCGCTCACCAGGAAGGCGCACAGCATGTAGAAGCTGATGAAGTAGTAGTAGGCGAAGCTGGTGCCGCACGTGTGCTCCTCCCCGGGGGCGTAGTCCGACTCGGGGTCGCACAGCTTGCCGTAGCTGCAGGCCAGCAGGATCTCCTGCCACGCCTCGCCTGTGGCGCACCTGGGGGACAAGGGCTCCATGGGCCTCTCACTCCCGGCGGCTCCCCGGGAGGCGGCCGGGGTGAGCACAGGCGGGCGGTGCGGGCGGGCTGCCCCTCCGGAGTGGGGGCTCCCCACGCAGCTCTGTGTGAGCGGCCCCCCCTCTACCCCTCACGGGACCCAGCTGGCAGGAGCTGACCAGGGAAAGGCAGTTTCCTGGATGGAGGGGCAAGATCGGTCCAGGACTCCAGCCACTGGTGGGGAAGCAAGAGGGAAAGGGTGCTGAGCCAGGGAGGCGGGGTCAGAGGTCACTGAGGCCTCACCCTCCGGGTCGACCTATCTCCTGCCTGGGTGAGAGGAGAGGAGGGATCCACAGGACCCTGCTCAGCGCTGGCTGCCTCATGCCGGGCGCAGTGCACACTAAGGCAGGGACCGCGTGTGCAAAAATGACTTAGAAAGCAGCCCTGGCTGTACGGCGGGGAGCGGAGCTCCCATCGGAAAAGGACAGCAGAGCCTCGGCCCTTCCAGGTGTGGGGCCCCCACGCAGGAAGCCAGCCTGCCTCCCGCAGACTGGAGCAGAGTAAGCCAGGTCAGGAGTCGGGGTCACAGGTCAGGGTTGGGGCGGCGGGGCCTCCTGCCTGAAGAGCAGCAGCACGGCCTGGGGGAAGGTCTGGAAGTTGTTGTTTCGGTTGATCTGGGTCCCGTCCACCATGGCGATCTTCCCAAACATCTGCAAATCCCAGAGGGCTCTGCTCCGGTACCTGGAAGCGTCTCCCAGCTGACCTCCTCCCCGCCTGTGTCCCTACCTCCTCCAAACCCTCCCCAGTTCGGGCCACGTCAGACCCGAGGCCAGATAAATCAGGCTGCAGTCGACCCTTGAGGAATGCGGGGTTAGCGATGCCGACCACCACGCAGTCGAGACCCCAGTGTAACTTTGGAGCCAGTCCTCGGGCCCTCCGTATCCATGGTTCCACAGCCGTGGGTTCAACTGCGCAGCATGGCGGTGCGTATTTATGGAAAAATTCACATACCAGCGGACCCGTGCAGTTCAGACCCCTGTTGTTCAAGGGTCAGCTATGGGGGGTGGACCAGTTTTCCTAGCCGCAGGCTGACTTAGGGACTCAGTGTAGGGGGTGGGTGGGCTCCAGGCGAGGGTGGTCTGAGATCCCCTAGCCTCTAGTGGGGGCCTTGGAGAGCAGTCTGGCCCTGATCTGTCTGTCTGCAGGGTCCCTCCTGGGCTGCTTCCCCTAACGCCATCTCCCTCCATCTTGAGCTGAGCCCTGGGCTGCCAGGAGGTACAAGGCAGGGGCCTGGTGGGTGGAGGGTCCAGTCTGCACACTGGCTAGACCTCCCCAGTCGCCCCTCCTGCCCCCTATTCTCTGGAGATCCAGATGTCCCTCCGGCCAGGGCTCACTTGCCCCCCTCCCCGCCCCTCACCTGCATGCCGATGACGGCGTAGATGAAAAAGAGCATGACGATGAGCAGAGCCACGTAGGGCAGGGCCTGCGGGTGAGGGCAGAGCTCAGGGCGCGCTCCACCTGCCCCGCAGCCCCGCCTCCCAGAGCTCGCGGGGGGGTGGACCCCACTCCCCGGCACCACCCCGGGCAGCCCCTGCAGGCCCTCTGCCCGCACACCTGGAAGGACTTGATGAAGGTCCAGAGCAGCGTGCGCACGCCCTCCGCGCGGCTCAGCAGCTTGATCAGCCTCATGACGCGGAACAGGCGGAAAAAGGCGCTGGAGATGCGGGCGCTCTCGTCGGGGTCCTGCGGGGCGCAGCCCCGGGTCAGTCTGGGGCAGGGCGGAAGGGCGTGGCGGGCGGGAGGGGCAGTGTGTGCGGGACTTGTCGTGGTGGGGGGACTTCCAGCCCACCTGGTCGCCCTGCTGGGCACTTGTGCTGACCCTCCCTGGGCTCAGGGCCCAGGGCTGGCTCAGCTGGAGGCGGGGTGGGCGGGGCGCCAAGCAGTGCGGTGAGGGGACGGGGATTCAGCCCCTGGGACTGGGCGGCCAGGCCCAGCTCCTGCCTTCCTGGGGCTCCTGCCTCATCTCACCTCCCCCCAAGCTGCCCCTGAGCCCAGGACCCTGGCAGCTCTCCTAGCCCTTCCCCTAGTGTCCTCCCAGGGCAAAGTCTTCCAGAAGCTCAGCTCCTCTGTGGCCATCAATTCAGTGGCCATGCCCCACCCTGCCCTGCACACGGCTGTCCTAAGCCGGGAGGCCTCTGCCCACGTGCCAGCCTTAGACACCGGATGACTCTGGCCGGGGAGAGCCCCCTGCCCGGCTTCAGTGCCCCCAAACGCTTGGTGCTGGTGGCCTGTCACTAAGGTTCTGTGCCATCCAGTCCTCTCTGGATGTTCCCATCAGCCAGATGCCCCGTCTCCCAGGGCTCCATGAAAGCCACTGCATCCATGCACACTCCAGCACAGAGCCCCCATGCCCCACCCCAACCCGGACCCTCCGGGGCCTGCTCGAGGAAGGGGCCCTGAGTGCACCCGCCCCATGCAGTCCAGCGGCCAGGCCGCGCATGCACGCTGCAGGGCAGAGCTGGCGGGCGAGCCGGGCAGGCTCATGCAGCCTGGAATTACAACGTTCCCGCAGCCGCCACCCAGGCAATACAGTCCCCCGCTGGAGGCCAGGAAAGTCTGTGGAGAGAGAGAGAGGAGGGGAGGGGAGGGAGGAGAGAGAGGAGGAGGGACACGGTGGGAGGGAGGTGAGGAGAGGCGTCAGAAAGGACAGACTGCAGAAGAGTTAAAGAGAGAACAAGACAGAGAGGTGGGAGTAAAGACCCCAGGGGGCTGCAGTCAGGGTCGAGGGTGGGGGTGTGGGAACAGCGACAGGCTGGGGTCCAGGGAGCCAGAAGAGGAGGTGAGACTGGAAATGGGCGGGTCCCTTCTTGCCTCCAAGATGCAGCCCGTGTGTCTGGGGTCTATGACGCTGGGGCTGTCCCAGGGGCCGGGGGACATGGGGAAGTACCTGCGCGTGGTCACAAGGGGAGTCACGCCCCATCGCCCTGAGTCCAGGGGTGCTGGCCAGCTCCCTTGTGCCGCTGAGGCCCTTATGGAGGTCCCATCCTCCAGGGGCAAGGCCCTCCGGGGGAGTCCGAGACCCCCAGTAGATGTGTTTCTGCCCCCAACCTGGGAGCAGGACCAAGGCTTCTATCTCAGGGACCAGGCTCTTAGGGGGCAGGCGTGGGGTTTGTGGGAGCAGCTTTGCCTCCTGTTTACTCTGAGCTTCTCCCATGGGCCACGTGTCAGGAGAAGCCCTGGTTCTGGAGCCCTGGGAGGGCCAGTCATTGTTTTATCTTGATTACTTGTGGGGGGCTGGTTCCCACCAAGCAGCGTTCTCCAGGGCAGCTTTTACCTGGACCCCTGGTTCTCAGCCCAGACTGCATGTCAGAAGCACACAAGAGAACTTAAAACATAGACCTTTGCTGGCTCCCCCATGCTGGCCAACTAAGTCAGCTTCTCGGGGCTAGGCCTGGCTTTGCGAGGTGTAAATGCAGCCCGGGGGGTTTAATATGCAGTCAGGGGTGACAAGCTGTGTTCCAGATCTGTGCTGCCCGCCTGGCACCAGCAGGCACACGTGGCTATTCGGACTACAGCGAAAATTACATAAACTTAGACATTCATCTCCTCAGCTGCACGGGCCACATTTCAAGTGACCAACAGACACACGTGGCTCGTGGCTACTGCTCTGGACCCAGCAGGACACTTGCATCACTGAAGAAAGTGCCAGCAGTCAGTGCTGCCCAAGCCTGTTCCCTGGTTTACACACAGGAACGAAAATCAATATTTAAATTCAAAGACTTAACATGACTTCAGCAAACATCTGCTGTCCCTAAAAATCAGATGGTGACCAACAACACCCTCCAGCCATCCTCCAGCAAAGAAACTGCTCTGATTTTTCCCAGCCTCCCCCACACAGACTTCAAACTTCAAGAAGTAACTATTTATAATTTAGGCAGTGGCTGTGCTCTCAGACCCTGGGGCCTTGGGGCGCTGTTCCCCAGCAAAGCCGAGAGTAGTGGAAATGCACACACAGGCCCAGAGGGCACCCTCGTGTGTCCAGAACCCACCCTGCCTCATCGGCCCCGCCCCTCTGGATGGGCTTAGACACAGATGGAGTTCTGTCTGTCCCCGCCTGTCCTGTGCACAGGGTGAACAGGACCCCAGGCCAGGCCTGCCCCTGACAGCCAGAGGGTGCCGCTCCTTCCGGGCTCAGCCTGTAGGAGCTGAAGGCCCCTTGCACATGGACCGCAGTCCTGTCCTCTGCTGCTCCCTCACCCCCTCCCTCTCCTACCCCCCGAGGTTCAGTCCTGGGCTGGCAGAGTCTGAGGTGCTTATCGGTGGGCAGAGGGGAGCCCTGACTTTGGGGCTGGGCCTCTCCTGATACCCCCTTGGGCAGACCCACTGGGGCGGGGTCAGCCCCAGAGTCTGCCGCTCTTTATTGAAAAACACATTTTTTGAGATAGAAATGTGACTTAGCCTGAAGGAATCATGCAGTTGCAAGGTGATTATATTCACCGGAAATAGAAAAGTGAAATATTCAAAGAAGATGGCCACTAATTGTGAGGCCTGTCACTTTAACTTCCAGTGTTAATACCACCTACCAAAAAGACATGAAATAGAGCTAAAATTTGGAAATTATAAATGGAAGAAAGAAAAAGCGACAATGTGCACATTTCTTCAATAGTTCTAGGTGCTTTTGTGTGATTCTCCGTGTAGTTAGGAAAGCCACTGCTATTACTGAATTGCACGATCACTTCATTTTTTTTATTCTTTATTTTTTTTACTTTTGTTTCAAAATTTATTTGATTGTAAGTTTATATTTTTTCTTGTTTCATAATGTCTGTGTTTAACAATCAGCTTACAAAACCCCTTAAAACTCAGCCATTGGGGTACATCTTCTCATCACTGAAGTGCACCTCCCTATCTCTGCCATATTCCTTGAAAATGGTAGCTTTTTCCCCAGCTTTTCTTTTTTTGTAATTGAAATATAGTCAGTTTACAATGTTATCTCAGCTTTTGGTGTACAGCATAATAAAACGTTAGCCTTCTGATGACAAAGAGTTCCTCTGCACAGTCACTTAAAAAACAAGTTACTTGATGTTGCTTTTGACTAATTGCACTATATTTTGTGTAAGTAACTGATTATTTTAAAAATGAGTAAGTAAACTTTGTACTCTTTCTAAGAGGGGAAGGAAAGAAGTCTTTCTAATATAGAGACTCCGTTCACCCCGCAGCACTGACGGCAAACTGGTCCCACACCCTGTGGCCTCGCTGGCTTGAATTCCAAGGGAATCTCAACTCCCAGGCAGTCATCTGGTCCCCCCCAGGCTTTGGCCGTCACTTCCCTTTGTTTATGGAGCTGCTGCCAGTGCTGGAGACAGAGGGACCCTGGGCTCCAGGCCGAAGTGTCCAGAGACACGCATCCCTACTCTCCAGCGCCCAAACCCCAGCACCAGAGCAAAGTCAGGAGGCTGCCCCCCAGTCTTCCTTCTCTTCGAGACACTGAGTCCCCTTGGATGCCCTCCTTCCCGTGGCCCTGGGCTGGCGCTTAGCTCATCCCGCCGCTCCCCCCAGAGCCCCTGAGCTCTCCTGCTCCTGCCCGAGTCCAGCCCCACGCTCAGGGTTCCTCCTGCTGCAGGGAGCCAGCCCTCCCCGGGGTGCTGGCTCTCACTCTCTCGCTCAAGGACTTTGCTCCTGCAGTTCCCCCCGCTGACCCCCCACCCCCCTACTCCCGGCGCTGGATACTCCCATGAGCCCAGGATGTGCTGTAATTTATCTCATTTTCCAGAAACCTCTCATTGGCTCTGCACCCTCCCCAAATTCTAGGCTATTTCTCTTTGTGGCAAAACACCTCGAGAGAGCTGTCCAGCCCCACGCTCCGCACTGCCTCTCCTCAGCCCACTGCAGCCGGGCATCCCTTCTAGGGATTCCTGTGAAACTGTTGGTCCCGTGTTGCCGGAATCCAGTCGGTACACAGCTCCCGTTTCCTCCATGTTCAACACAATCGTCACTCTGTCTCCTGCACATGCTGGGCTCCTGACTCCGGGACACCCCTCTCTCAGTCCCCCTGCCTCCATGGCCCATCTCTCCTCAGCCCCCAGTCACCAAACACCGGAGCCCACAGGGCTCAGCCCCTGGACCTCTGCTCTCTAAACACCTTCCCGTAGGGGATCTTACCCACTTCCACGACTAAATGCCAGTTCATTCCTTGAGTCTCAGATTAGATCTCTAGTCTGACCCAGCCTCTGGGCTCCGGGCTCAGAAACCCAGGCCGACTCAGCACCTCCATCTGGAAGCCTCGAGAGCATCCTAAGTGGTCGCATCCCAAGCAGGACCCTCGGTTTCCGCCCCACCTGCACACACAGAAGCTCGGTTTCTTGGACGAAATCCTTGTCGTCGCCGCTGATTTTTTCCCCTCTCACCCTAAATCAAGCTCATCAGCAAATACTGTCAGCTCGACGTTCCAAGCAGACCCAGGTGCCGACCGCCTCTCACCTCTTCCGCTGCTCTGGTCAACTCCGTCCCTCAGCGGGGCCATCGTGGTACCCCCGACCACACCCCAGGGCGCCCCTAGCGTCCCTACAACTTGCGCTCAGCGCAGCAGCCAGAAGGGTCCGTTTAGAACTAAGCAAAGACCAGGTTTAAACACTTCCAAGGGCTCTCATCTCGCTCAGGACAAAACCCAAGATCCTAAGCATGGCTTCCAAGGACTGATGTGGTCCAGCCCTGGCCTCTCTCTCTGGGTTCACCTCCATCACTCTCCAGCCCGGCCACCAGGCCCCCTGGAATCCCCAGAGTCGGCCCTCACCCCCTACCTGCCACAGGGTGGGGCCCAGCACCTGGCAGCCCGTGTCCTGCTTCACGCAGGGCTGAGCTTAAATATCACCTGGACACACCGTTGCATTCCCTTGCACTCTGTCTCCATCACACATACCAGTCACACCAGCCACATGTGTCCTTACAGTCTGTTTTTCTGCCTGGTCCCCCCAGACTCTCTCTCACGCAGTACCTCTAGCACAAGGGGGAGGCGCCCAGTAAGCGTCTGAGGAGTAGACGGATGGCCGCCTGCCCAACGGGGCCGCCTACCTTTTGTTGGACTCACCTCCTCCCTTTACCTCCAGAGTAACATCTTTAGAAGTGTAGGGTGTTCAGGGCCCCCCCACTGCCGGCTATGCACAATTCAACACCCCCACCCCCACTTGCCTCTCCAGCTGGACCCCCTTCTCTCCCCGGCACACTCATGTGCTTCTAACCGGAGGGACCTCCCGGCGAGCCCTGAACCTTCTGTTGACTGGGCTCTGGCCTGTGGTGCTTGCACCCTCTTCAGGTGGCACCACCTCCTTGAAACCTCCCCTGACCATCTGCCCAGAGAGGACCTCTCCCTTCTACGACGGTGCTGGCCGTGGGCCACCTGGCCCCTCACTGTGTCCACCGGGAGTCTGAGGTGTCTGCTCTCAGGACCACAGCCCTGCCTTTTCCATCTTTATAACCAGGGGGCTGGGCTGCACGCACAGTGGGTTCCCCACAAGTGTCTGTGGCCTGAACAAGCTCCTCCCCCCACCCCAGGGGTGGCCCCGCCACCTTGACTCACGTCGATCTCGCTGAGAATGACGTCGATGATGCTGCCGATGACAATCAGGAAGTCAAACACGTTCCAGGGGTCCCCAAAGTATCCCTGGGGGAGGGGACAAGGTGAGCTGTGGGGGAAGGGGCTCGGCAGTCAGCAGGGGCAGTCGGCCCCATCTGAAGGATGCAAAACCCCAGGGCCAGGCGGGGTTGGGCCGTGACACCACTTCCCGTGGCGTTGGGGCCTCACCCACCCCTGCACCTCTGCCCTTGGCTCTGGTCCTCCAGAGCATGAAGTGTTCCTAGGGCAGCATGGCCAGGAAATAGGGCCTGGGGTCCTGGTCCGCATGAGGGGCTCTTTCTCCCCACACCCCCACTTGAAGCCCAGTTGGGCTTGTGGTGCAGACCTGGTGGGGGAGGGGGTGGGAGTGGGCTTGGGAACCCAGGATACAGTGGGATACTTCCCAGCCCTGGGACTGCTCTTCAGAAGCTTAAAAGGAGGAGGGGACACGAGGACTCACAGAAGGGGCAGGGGAAGCGCAGCCTGAGTGGCCTGCAGGCAGGGGTGAGCAGGCGGGGGTGGAAGTGCGGGGTGGGAGGAGGGCCCCAGGGAAAGGCCCCACCCTGTGGGCCCAGGACGCACCCTGGCCTTGAACGCCATGAGCTTGAGGATCATCTCCAGGGTGAAGATGACGGTGAAGGCCACGTTGAGGATGTCTGAGATGTGGTTCATCTGCTCTGACTGGTTGTAGTGCTGGGGGGGCAGAGGGGAGGGGCTGGGGGCTGCTCCCCATCCTGCATGGTGGCTTCCAGAGCCCCCCACCCACCTCTCTTTAGTCTTAGAAAACGAGGAGCCTGCTCTGGCTGTGTCGTGTCCAGAGTCCTAGCAGGTCTGACGGCCACGCCCCATCCCTGTCGGGGGCCCAGTGAGGGGGAGAGGAGACGGTTTCCAG